AGCGGGGCTGCCTTCTCCCCTCTCTTCTTAATGGACTTCTTGAATCTGTCCTATGGGTGGCCCCATTTGTTAGAGAGCCCTCCTCCCCGACACCTTAACCAAAGTAAGAACAAAATCCTCCAAAAGAGCAAGCTTACGGTGAGCTAATCGGCCTCGCAATGGTTCCACTGAATTCTCCAATGTCAAGCGTGGGATGCAGGAAAAACAAATTTAAAGTCACCCAGACAGGAAGCTTTCCTTTTCAGCAGCTGAGAGATGAGAAAGAAAATACAAACAGCAGGAAACAGCTAAGCATATAACACACACGGTAAACCTATAAATTGTCATCCTAAGAATAAAAGAAAAGCAGTGCCGATCTTTACTCAGCCCTTGTCTCCTGTATCCTCTGATGACGATGCCTTAGCTGTACATGCCCACATACCTTAGAGAAGGCTCGTCTGGGTTCCAGCTGCATTGTTCTGAGACTTTTCTAAGGAGCAAGAGGCTTAGGTCAGGGCGAGGGGTTTGCCATTAGTTCTGAGAAGTTTGAGATGGCAAATCCATGGGTAGGTTTGAAGAACAATGTAAGCCACTTTGATCTGGACCCATCTTTGCAAACAGAATCCATCCTGGTTATGGAAACCAGCCTGGATTTCCCCTTTGCATGGCCTGCATGTGCTGCGTTTGCCGTCTGGAGGGGCGAGAGCTGGAGGGGAGAGGCTCTGGCGACAAAGCCACCCCAGGCCAGCATCAGGAGGTGACTGGGGGAGGCGCTTGGGGTAGAGGTTAGAGCATGGGAGCCCCACTGCTGGGGCTTGCTTTGGGGACACTTTTACGTGGAGCAGGAGAAGAAGGGAGAGATAGGGTGAGAGGAGAGATTCCACTTGGCTGTTGTTACTGTGCTCTCCGGGTGTAGGGTGAGTTTACAGCTGACTCTTTCTCGAGTGGGTCTTTTCTCTGTTCTGCAGAAGTTCTTGTGGCGGCCTCTCTACTTGAAAGTCCCTGGATGGGGTTGGTGCCTCCCCTTCAGCGTTTCACTCCCGGTCCTCAGCTCCTTCCCTCTGGTTCACCCCCATGCCTCTCACTGCCCCGGTTCTCCATGCTGGACAGGCTGCCCACTTGGCAGGACTGCCTTTGTCATATGAGCCTGACATTCCTGCCACCGGCTCTGCAGCTGAGTCTGGGAGTCATGCACCTCTGGCTCCCACGGAAGGGAAGAACAGAGCTTCCCAGATGCAGCCCGTGGCCACTACCTGTTGCTCCAACCTTCTCGAGCATGAGTCAAGCCTGGGAATCCCCCTTCCGCACGCAGGCAGCAAGTCTCAAGATCAGACCGGGTGGTCTGGTTGGAACCCTTCAGTTTGGGGTTAACCTCACATGCCCACATTGCGGTGAGGCGGGACCTCACAGCCTACCAGAAAAATCTTCCTCCCATTCCTTCTTTCTTCTTTTTTTTTTTCTTCATTGCTATCTTCTTTCTCCAATTTCTAAAAACCTGATTCTTTCCCATCCCTAGTTGGGTGAGGATACCAGAATGCAGAAAAGACTATTTCGTTTGAAATCAACCTATGGAGGTTTGTCTCACACCTTCCCTGGGCGACTCTGGGGCCTCCGGCAAACTTTCCAATTTAACATCTTCTTACATACCAGCCCATTAGGATGTAAGGATTGAAAAAAGGGAAAGGATTTGAGCGATTTCCTTCTTTCTAGTGCTTAGAGCAATGTGTGGCAGGTAGTAGGCACTATACGTACATTTCATACATATTTGTTGAATGAATAAATAAATGTATTAAGTTGTGAACCACAGTTCCTCCCGTATGTCAGGTCAGTGCTTTACAGGGTGGCTATCCCACCAGAAGGGATATTTTGTGTGTGCTTGTGTGGTTTTTGCTAATTTTATTTGGATTTTTCAGAACGAGAAATCTCTTTGAGGTACAGTTTGTTTACAGTTTTTCTCTTTTTATTTCAAGATCTTATTACTCATTCTCTGAGAGATTTTAGGTTTTCTTTATTTAAGGGGGAATTTCTTAACAATCCTTTTTGTTAAGGCGGGATTGTAATGGTGGCACTAAATCGTCTATTTTTGAGATTTGGATCTCTGGTATAATTCAGATTAATTAGCGTAATTTAGCTTGGGACAATCCCATCTTAACAATTTTCTTTAAAATTTCCAAACTTTCCATTATTACTAATTCACGAGGAAAACTCATTTTTAAGGTGAAAATATACCATTAATTAACATTTCAGGCTACATGTGAACTTTTTTAAAAGCAGTACATCAGAAAAAGTTGTGTAAATATACAGTATTATTAAACAAATAGCACTATGCCAATTGCATGTAAGTCACAGCATCAATAAAACAATCTGAAATCAGAATTATGGTCTATTCATCCCAATACTCTGCTTTTCAATTTCACCAAAGGATTGTATGCTTTCTCTTTTTAATGTTAACTTCAAAAATAGAAGGATGCCCACCTTAAACATAATTTTTATTTATTTATATTCATTTAATTATTCATAAATTTCTTTTTGGAATGATCTTAATAACTCATTTCAGTTCTACCAACACATTTAGTACAAAAAATAAGTAAAAATAAAGAGAAACTTTCTATTTTGTTCTGAATGGCAGACCCAGGGTAGTTATTCTTATTACATTTATGTAAATCTATGTAAAGCACAATCACAGAAATTAAACTCAGAATTCGAGAGCAGGGTTTCATTATACTGCATGCTTCCCCCCCGCTTTTTTTTTTTAAAGGATTTCTACATATAGAATCTCAGAAGAGGCCAAGATAAATGGAAAGTTATTTGGGAAAATTCAGTTTCCAGATTCACTAGAGGGTAGAATCTCTCTGGTTGATTAGACTGAAAGAAATTCCCCTTGCAGTATTGTCATTAACAATGACATACAGTCATATTTCTGAAGATCTTAAAGGGATCCAAGCAACAGAGAGGCATTTTGTGAACACCCTTGGTAGCCCTGTTCTAGGCATTAGTGGGTGCTACTAAAGATGGACACTACCCCTATTTTCCAGGACCCCTGCAGGATTGGATGGAGAGGAGAAGCAGGTGGGGGTAAAGAGAGAGGTACAGGCAGGTGAATGTAAGTTGCACCCAGGGCATTGGTGAGTATTGGGAGGCTCTGGAAGAGCACGCCTGAAGTTGGCTGAGAGAAGGCAATATTTCAGTTTAGGACAGTTATCCTCGCTATATAGAACCACATACACTCACCGATATACATACGTGTGCACACAGAGACTGCCATTAAAAAATACCCTTAGTGTCTTTCAACAGGAGACAACTATGGTTTTCAGTCAACTTTACATGGTTCAGTGGTGATGATGATGGTGGTGGTGATGGCGGTGGTGGGAATAATGATATATACTGCTCTAGATAAATGACATCGGGTCAGAATAACAGCTTGTGTCAGTCAAGGTCCTCTCAGAAAAGATCTCATTCTAATGCTTAACTCTACCAATTTACTTAATCACTCCCCTCCACCAAATAGTAAAAAAGTACTTAAATTTTCTTGCAAGGGGAAGATTCCACGTTGTCCCCTACATCTTTTGAAACTTAGAAAAAAGTATTCCAAAACATGCTTGTGACCTTACTATCAGTTTAGGCTTTGAGAAGTCAAAAATTCAATGCGTTGGCCATGAGACATTACTTTCTCTTGAGTTGGAGGATACAATTGCTACCATTCATTCCTTCAAGCACGGTTCTTTTCCCCACTTTGTGCCATAGCGCCTGCTTCATTTGACTGTGGAAAGCCCAAGGTGGAGCCGAAGAAGTGTCCTGGAAGGATCGTGGGTGGGTGTGTGGCCAACCCACATTCCTGGCCCTGGCAAATCAGCCTTCGGACAAGGTAACACTGTTTCCAGTAGCAACGTGCTCCATCTTCTGTGGGAGCCCCGCAAAACCTTCCTGCATTCACAGTAAATCCACAGAGCTGGTATCAGTACCTGCCTCTATGGTCTCCTCTGGAGGAAGGAAACTATAAAACATGTTTTCAAACGATATTTTTCTAGATCCTCTACTTTGAAAATAGCCAAAATTAGAATCTTTTTCTTGATCCGGCCAGCTATCACCAAGTTTTTACACCAAGTTCCTATATTGCTGGAAAAGTATTGAAGATGCCTGGAGGGTTTACACAGATACCCATTTCTCCTTGTGAAACGAGGAGGAAGGGATAGTTTTAGACATGTGACACTCAGTGGGGAGCCAGGATATTATCTGTCACAGATTCTTTTCTCTCTTCTTTTTTTCTTTTATACACTTCTGTGAATTATCAGATTTAATTCAGAGGGTGCTCACCCATCTCAAACACAGCTCCTTGAGTGTGGGGTGGTTTGTGATCCCCGTAAGTTAAGAGTGATCAGTTCTGAGCCTACGGGACCTGGGCAATTGGGGTTACCATTTCTGTGACATCTGCCTTTAGTAAGCTCAGTTTTCCTGGGTGTCTCATATAAAGCACACACGTGAAACCGGCTGATCTGCTGGCACGCATTGCTGCCTAGTATCACTTCTGCACTCACACACAGGTGCTCAGGGAGTGGTCCCCACCGGCGAGCCTTCCTGCTACACTCTCGTGAGATGCTGCCAGTAAACTTGATTCCCATCTATTTCATTCTATTGTTGAGTTGGCTTTTCTTTCCTTTGCCTTATCACTTAGGAACTCCTCACTATTCAAAGTCTTCGCCTTTTACATATTTCAGATTCCTTGTTTCAAGGCCAAACTGTGCAGTGCTCTGTTCCTCGCTGCTTATCCACTTGCTTGCTATGGCAAGCTTACCATCTGCCTTCCATTCATTATGACTTACTTTGGAGTGGCTTGCACCGTTTTTATGAGCTACTGTGTGCCTAAACAGTCCTATAAAGTAAATGATTTAGGAGCCATCCCCCCCACAAAGGGGATTGTCTAGGTAAAATCGGTGGACTCCCGTGAATCTTAGCTCTTCAGGATCACATTTGACTTCCTGAAGAATGACTCATATGAGGTCTTGCATAGATCTTGTCAAGAAGAAATGAAAGAGACCTCGAGAGCATGTCTTTTGCCTGGTTACTTCTGTTCAAGCCCAGGGCTAACCGGTCACAGCCATGGATGTGGGCTTCCTGTTGTTGGAGCCACATGGCTTTGCTGTCCTGTGGACAGGCTATGCCTGAGCCTCTCACAGCCACCTTAAAGAGTGTTATGGATGGGACCTTATAGAAAATCCATGACTGAAGCAAAACTCACAGTTCTTATTGTCCTGGTGATAGGCTGGTAGCCTTTCCTTTGGGACTATCAGCATTATCAGAATTGAGCGAAGACTCCTTTCTGGCTTTCTGTACAATAAATAGTTAGATTTGAACTAAAATCATGGCATGTTTTCCTCCTAGATTCGGGCAACACTTCTGTGGAGGCACTTTAATAGCCCCGGAGTGGGTGTTGACGGCTGCCCACTGCCTGGAGAGGTATGTTTAGACGGCAGCTGACATGAGGACTTGTCTTAAAGACTCCCTGCCTCCATCCTTTCCCATTCCTGTCTTCCCTTCCTTCTATGGCAGTGACACTAGGGACCAGGGAGTGGATGTGAAGAAGCCTGAGGCAGAATTGCCAGGGGACGGGATTGAAAGAGAGGGGATGGGAGTGTTTCCAGAGAGAAATGAAGAAGAAAGACCTAGTTCCGGTGGGCTTATGGGCCTGGATAAGTGGCAGGACAGAGTCATTCTGTGGCAGGCACTGGTCCCCCCTGAGGCTCGCCTGACATGGGTGCCTGTCCTTGTTTGACTTCAGTGTTGGTTCCATTAATCAAAAGCATCCCTAATGCCCAGGTTCAGGTAAATCAGGAATTTCGCTTCTTGCCACTCAGAGGAGATGGACTGCAGGTAGACAGTGTCTGGGGAGGACTTGATGATGTTTATGGCTCAGAAGGGTCCCCGATGAAGGGGCTGGCCAATATTTTGATGCAAACGTCCCTGTCTTTTCTAGGTCCTCAAGGCCTGCATCGTACAAGGTCATCCTGGGTGCACACCAAGAGGTACGCCTTGAACCAGATGTTCAGGAGCTAGGAGTGTCAAAGCTGTTCTTGGAGCCCTCACGGGCAGATATCGCCCTGTTGAAGCTGAGCAGGTACCCACTCCCACCATCTGTACCCTAAGATGAGTGAACACAGTGGTTTCTGCCTGGGCTTTACCACCCGTACCAGGGCTGTGCTGCGAGGGGAGGCACTTTCTAGGACATGGAAGGCACAAGGGCTCTGATCTTGAAAAAGGCCCCAGGGCTGTTTCCTCATGCGGAAAAGAGTGAGCAAAAACACGCAGTACTACACGGTTACTCCTAAAACACTCTCGCTTAATGTTCGCCAGTCAGCTAATGTACATTCACAGTCAGAGGGTTATTCAGTTCTTCCAGGTTGACAGTTCTGCTTTCAATATGGTAATACGTTTGGGGGAATCAAATGACAGTATGTATTTCAAAGCACTTAAAAAAAACCACAATGGAAACACACACACGCACACACACAAACACACACACTTCACCAATGCGCATTACCCTTATCTTTGGTTTCATTTTTCCTGTTGGAATGGCGTTTTGATATTACGCCTGGAAAAATGATACATTTGCTTATGTCACTTGAAGTTAGCAACATTTGGAAACGGGTCCCAATTGGAGACAACTAAATAGACAGATGGCTATTTGGAGAACAGGCCTGTTTGGGGTCATCACAAGGCATGCAGAGCACATTAGCTGTGTCTGATGGAGTGGGATGATGCTGGCAGCGAGGAGGATGGGCCAGGCCGGCACAAGGCCGGCCGGCAGGACTCTGGTTCTGCTCTGCCGGGTCTGGTCAGAAACACTTCACAAGTTTCCTGGGTCAGTACAATGAGGACTGACTTCCTGGGGTGTTGGGGAGCTTAAGAAAGGGCCTTCTCGGCTTTGCCTAAAAAAGTAGCTGATTCCCCTCCTTCCCTGTGGTGCCCCGAAGGGAATCTGGTAGCTCAAACAAATAATTTAGTTAATTTGGGCTTCTAGAAGCATTCTCCGGTAGACCAATATATTTGAGCTTTAGACAACCCACCCCGTGCCTCCACACCCCCAGGGTCTAAGGCAGCGGTTCTCAACCTGTGGGTCGC